ATTCTTTGTGGACCCAATAGCTGGCTACGGCATTGAGTTATATAAAGGGGACTAAAATGTTTAAATTCATTTATGATTCCTCCGTATTTAGAAAGTACCGGTATATAATATGCTATACGTTGCTCATGCCAAGTCCAAATTCATTTTTTTTATAAATTAATAAACCAAGGAATACATGTAGAGGTGTAATTTTCGCCCTAACTGACGTGAAATGTACTGAATACTCAGTACGTTTGAAACCAATTGCGAAAAAATCGCTAGTTGTTTTCGGGTGGACTCGAACCCACGATCTCCGGACCACTAGCCTGGCATCATGCCTCTAGACCACCGAGCTTGCGCCTGATGGCCAGGGTTCAATTCGAGTCCAAGTAAGCAGCGGGTACTGCATTGTTGATAGTGATTGTTACTGTCGTGATTGAATAGACAATAACTTGATTTGCGTCAGGAGCAAAAAAATAATCTGGTGATATATTTTATGATTATTATGCCGAAATTTTGAATAAATGTTTTGAGACCAACAGTTATATTGATGCAATTGGTGACGGAATGACAGTTGTGCAGCCATTGTATGGGCTCAACGTATGCTGATTAGTGTTGTTACAGAAAAAAGATTTTGAGTTCCATAAGATGGGCATAGATATTACTGCCGATTTTGACACTGTGAAGAGGACCACTATTTTAAATCTTCACTGCAGGATGCAGTGAAGATGATATAAGAAGTCAGATATTTGTTAGCAAATACAAAATTAAAAGTAAAAGTTAATAATGTAAAATCTGCTGAATTCGAAGTAACACTTGGATCCTTTCAAGGTGATGATATTTCTGGCAATTTATTTAACATGGTTCCTGCCGGAACATTAAATCATCTTAGATCTGTTACACAATTTCGTCCAAACCCTCCTATAAACAATGATTGCATGCTTATTGAATGGAAGTATGCAGACGATACAGATTTCATAGATATGAACCTTGGTAATCTTAACTGATTACGGTACTGAATCAATGCCTTGATATGTTTAATGAATGGAATTTACATATGAATGAGTCTAAAACTGAATTTGGTCATGTGTCTAGCAGAAAAATTTGAGTATAACACTGAAGGGAAACCTGTGAAAGATTTTGAACCATGGAGAAAAACTATTTCACTTGGATCAAAATGATATAGTAAGGAAGATATCCTGTATAGGTGTAATTTAGGAAATGCAACTTTCAAGAAATATAAAAAAAAACCTGGCTTAGTGGAAGAAAAATATAATTAAATAAAAAGTTAGAAATTTACGAAGCACAGGTTATATCAGTAATATTGTATAATTCTGATTCTTGGGCTGCACCAGAATCGTATTTCGAAAAACTCGATATATGTCACAGAAATCACTTGAGAGCCATCCTCAAAATTCAATGGCCTAAAGCTGTAATATCAAATGTTGCGTTATACAAATTCTGTAAAAGAGTACCACTGTTTTTTCGGGTTAAAGCTGCTCGTTGGAGAATGCTTGGACATGTACCGGTAGTTCAAAGTGATGAAAATACGTCTGCAGCTATTGCCCTATGCTGTACAAGCAATGGCAACTAAACGTGGTAGAGTTGGCAAGCATCAAATTAGTTTGTTACCTAGTTTACAGAAAGATATGCAACTACGAAATCTCAAATTACAATCTTTGGACGATTTAACAAAATTAAGATATAAAGCTAAAGATCGTGATTTTTGGAAAGATATGTTTTAGATCTTATTAGAAAATGCTTTTTGTCCGTGGCGACTGAACTGGACTCTTTATCATTATTTTTCATTTTTGTATATATTAAGAGAAGTCAAGTTACGTCGATATTGATTTCAAAACCAGTAATAAATAATAACATGATTGAACTAATTGATATAGTATTTGCAATTATCAACTGTTCACATGATTTTGAATAAAAGTTGTTTATTAATATTGATCATCACATTTAAACAATTCGTTATTATTTATGGTTAAAGTCAATATTAGTCCTAGTGTCAAGCTCAAATAATATAGTATTATGCAATCTGAAAGTTCAACTTTTATTATTAGTATTGGTAAATACCGTAACTGTGAAGAACATGAGTATGTGTTTCCACATGAAAATGGATAAAGATACAAAAGTAATGGTAAACTGATAATGAAAGCAAATACACTACAAAAAATTAAGAATTTCACAATGTGATCTTGCATATTTAAACATTAATTCCGTCGTAGCTTCATTGTTAAGTAATATACGAAAGCACACATACACATGGAAGTTGATTAGATTACAGTAGCGGAGCAATTTCAACTTAATAAGAGGTATATAAATAACAGTATATGAACATACTGAAAAAGATATGATACAAGCACCATAAAACATAAAAAAGTAGTGTTTCTATAGTCATAATATCAGTAGGTTGACAACAAATTATTATTATTCATAATTATTTTTTTGTGCAATCACTTCTTACAAGGTTTAAAAATTAAAATAGTGTTGATCATTTCCAAACAAATAAAGTGTGATAAACACATTAAACATGAAAAAGAATGTTTCCATAATTAACAGATTATGTATAATAATGATGTGCAGTCGCTTCTTTTAGGGTTTCACATTAATATAAAGTTAACCATTTCTCAGAATGGGCGTTTTCTATCACCGTGCTTTCCATGGCTGTTGTACGGTGTCAAACTAAATCGGATGCTTAATTCACACCAAGAATACCCCTGCATTCTTAGTTTTAAAACTAAAAATAAAAGCAGCAAAGATCTCTTTTTACACAGACCTGTATGTTTTGTTGAGGTTGATTTTACTGGGTCAATCTTTGCAAATTAAATCTGGAACAACTTCTTAACTGCGTAATGGAAACTTTTTGCCGCGCGCAATCCTTCATTTTGCTCGGCCAGTATGTTAATTTCTTGTAAAGATCTGGCTTCATTGCAAATGCTTCTGTATTCCAAGCATCCTTCCATCTTCCGCTACTTTTTATTGTCAAAACATCTAGCCCATGGAAATTGTTATTATGACTTTGGTAAAGTAGAGTTATGGTATAACAGTCAAAGCTAAAAGCATGAATTACTGTGGCCACGTGATTTTAAAAGCAAGCGTACATTAAATCACACAACACCGTAATAGATTGCATTGAGAGACGATGGAAGATTCTATAAAGATATAGCCAAATATAATTAATATCAGAAATTATTATTCTTGCTATTTTGAAATTTTAGACAATTTGTATTACTGGTAAATAGGTATATAGATGCATGAGGATAAAAGTGCGTTGTAAATGTTAGATTTTAACCTACGCCTACAAGCAATCGGATGGCACAAAAGCCATTTACATAACTCAACACTTCTCAAATATATACGACAAATGAAACAAACTAACGTATTTTATTTAATATTTTTAATGAAATTAATAGAAATTATATATTTTGCGGTAAATAGATATGTAGCATACACCGATACAATGACGCCTATTACAAAGCTTATAACTGTAGCAAAAAATGGAAGACACAAAACATTTCAGAAACTATAGTATTTTCTATTGTTTGTATATCAATAAAAACGCTGTAACGAAAGTAGTTTATTAAATTCCGTTCACCTTCATATTAAATAGAATAGAATTCGCTATGCGTATACAAACAATGTACTTACACATACAATCAGATATACCAATAGGAAAAATGATAAATGTATACATTTCATTCCGAAAATTTATCTTGCATACGGCTAGTCTACAACTAACCATCTCGAGACTGGCCCCAGTATTGTTAAACTTTAGCTAAAACTAGACTTTTATGAATATAAATTAAATTTGCAACTTGTGCTTGATGAAGCCCAGTGCTAAAGTAAGTTTTAAGAATACGACCCTGTACACTTATGTAGTACAGGTAGGGAATGGTGTGCAAATTTTTCATAAAATGCATAGCCACATTTATCTATTTTAAACTACAGCGTAAGCATTTTTGAAAAGCAGTTTATATTTGCAAAAAAATGTTGGTATGCAACTACTCTATTCTTTAATACTGCTATTAGACCATCGAGGTCTCTAAAATACTTTACTTGATTGTAAGCTTATAATAACGTTAGGTTTACAAAACATTACCAAACATGGATGCAGTTATAATATGTAAAATGCTTTCACAGAATATCAACAATTATTATTTTTCCAATACTACATATTCAAATGTGTCATTTTACTTTTAAAAAAATTGGAATGTACAATATTACAAAATACTTAACAAACTCTCTTAATATCAACTTGGATTCTGAAAAAAATGTATTGGAATGAAAGATATAAAATAAAAAATATATATAAAATTGCCCAAATTGCGAAAGTATACTGGAAGATATTGCCATTATACAGCAATACAAATTTGTTACACCATGATGATACACAATATGTAATTATGAAGATTATACTTCAGAAACACAAAATCTTATATAGTGCCTATGGCTGAGCTTTATTTATATAACAAGATAAATACAAAAACGATAGGTTTTGTATAAAATAATTTTCAAGTAAAACAAAAGTATAAAAAATACAAATAGTTATAAAATATATATGCCTATGAAATTCGTTTCCCCGAAATTATATATAATTAAACTAAAAGCACCAAAATAACTATAAAAAAAAAAAGAATGAACACTTAATACCACCTGAATAATTAGTCAGTCAACAAACATCAACATTACCAAAATACAGTAAAAACCAAATAATGGTTCATAAACCTCTATTATAATAATAGTAGTACAGCACTAATAATTTTCAAACATAGAATGTTAATAGTATAAGCTTTATTAATTTGAGATCTACTTAAATTGACTGAGGACTTTACTGCCCTTTTAAGTACAGCACATGTATTTTCATTTTCTTGCTTTGTTGGCAACTGCTTTCTTTCTCTCTTCACAACATTTATACTTTCCTCTATATGATAACCTTTTTTTATTTATTTCTTTTATGAAACTTGATATATATATATATATATATATCTGTCTCTT